GTTACCTTGATGGAGCGCTTGCGTGTTGGCGCCCCATCCATGCGCTTCTTGTCGATTTGAGTTAATGACGTAAATAAATGTGTGAGTTTGAAGTGGTTTGTCGTAAGGTTGGCATATTCTCTATGAAACAGTTACTTCTCAAAATCAATAAATAACATGTCAAACTTTTGCTTCCATTAAGACAGGGATTACCTGTAGTGGATTTTGGACGACGACGCGATTGAATCGAGGTATTCGACTTGAAAGGAACGTGTCAATTGTTATAGAGCGCTTTTCGCATTTCCAAGCCATGCGTCTGGCTTATACACTGAATTTTGTTCACTCTGAGGACGGTTTTACAAGGACTACGTTGGCAGTCCAACGCTTGCGAGTTTTTCTCTGTTTTTCTCAACATGACTGCACCGCAGCGTTCTCTATTCATGCACAAGCTGGGTTCATTGTCGAACGAAGTCCAGCCCTCGAATTTGCCCTCAATGACCGGATTCCGCAGGGGGGAGAGGAGCATGCCATGGCTCAGAGACACCCCGAATGGGGCGGAGATCGACACCACGATCTTTAGCACATTTGACGATGCACTACCAATTGAGTGAGCTAAACTACATTGTTTAAATATGAAGTCCGAGCTTCTTTCGAAATCGTGTGGAATGGCAGCTTGGACAGTGCCAGTGCATGTAACGACTAAGATGGTAGAGTTTAGCGAGACAAATCCAACAGGACAACTTGCGGCAGTAGTAGCGGCAGCAGCAATCTGTCATGATCGCGCCAAAATTGCCGGCGCGTGCCAAGATGCGTCATGCGCGTGCAGCGGATATCTGTTTGCGCTCCAGGACCTCCAATGGCAACTGCACCTCGTCGCGACGATTGTGTTGCGAGCAACCGAGTCCATTTAACAAAGGGTTGGAGGTTGGTCATGTTCTAGTGTCAGCCCCCCCCCTTCCAAACGTGACTAGGATTGTCCGCGGTTAAGACTTCTTGAAAGACTGCGATGTGGTGCCAGTACCGATGCAACGTCCCCCTCCGCTCTCGTCTCCATGTCGAGGGACCCTCTCGACGTGCTCCATGTCGAGTGGCATTTCCGTGGTTGATTCACTTTATCGTTTCCCTGCCGCGAGTGCTGTGTACCCACTCATGATGTGAATGTGTAGTCAGCGATCAACCTCCCCTCGCATTGTTCCCTCGCCCATCACTTGTATTTGGCCTGAAGCTCGCGGCGAAGAATCTTTCCCGACGCGCTCTTGGGAATGAAGTCGACAAATACAACTTGCCGGACCTTCTTGAACGGTGCAACGTGGTCGGCCACATACTCCATCAAATCTAGACGTTGGCGATGCTCCATGGGGGCGAGATATTTTCCCATGTCGTTATCATACCTTCCGCCGTCACCTGCGCATTCGCCTTGAGCACCACACATGCCTTAGGCACCTCGTCGTTCTTGTCATCGTAACTACGGCGAAACAACCACCACCACATTCGTTGTGAGGCGTTGACATTGCAAAGTACCCTCGAATGCACGCCACGTCGAGAACGCTGGGGTGCTTCAGCAGGACGTCCTCCAGCTCGGCAGGAGCCACCTAAATTCATCACAATTCATGACGACGCCAATTTGACAGCAGTGTAGCGAGACTTAACGAAAAACGATTTGGCCCAACGTAGTTGCCCGATGACTCCGTCACGACTGCGTACCTGGTGGCCTTTGTACTTGATCAGCTCCTTCAATCGGTCGACCACGTAAATGTGGCCGTCGTCATCGATATAGCCCAAGTCGCCCGTCTTTAGGAATCCGCATTCAGTCATGGTTGCCTGCACCATGCATGGGTTCCCCGAGTCCATGTGGACGCGAAGCGCTACCTCGGTCGCTGCGTCGTTGTTCAAATAGCCGAGCATGACTTGGGGTCCGCGATACCACAGCTCGCCCGTCGAGTGGGGCGGCAAATCGGTCCCGGTCGCTGGACACACCACGCGCAGTTCTGTGTTGGGGACCAAGTGGCCCGACGACGACTATCCATTCATACCATCGCTCGTCATGACGTTCGTGCACATGTCAGAGAGGGAACTGGGCATGCCACGCGACCCCGAACGGAAGACCGACGTACGGACTTGGTACTGGAATCGTGCGAGTACGTGGCGACGGGTGACAGTTCGGTCATGCCGTAAGCTTGTTTGATGGAAATGCCGAGGCGGTTCTTCACCGCTTCTTCCAGAGCTACAACCCAAACGAAATTGCGTCAGACGCGTCCATGAGAACGAGCTACCTTGGCCCATGGGAGCCGCACCGGACACGAGAATCTTGGTGGCTGACAGGTCGTACTGATCCACGAGAGGATGCTTGGCTAGGAATGCCGCAAGCGGCGGCGCGATGTGTCCTTTTTCAATCTAACACATGCACGTGGTTTCAGCGGCACAACATCGAGGGGCCAATTTCTCGTCGCCATGAACGTACTTTGTAGTGCTGGAGCGCGTACAAGAAGGTGGCGGGGTCAAACTTGGGGAGAATCACTTGGGGCTGGCCGCTCAGCAACGCGCCATTCATCAACGTCGTGCCGTAGATGTGGTAGTAAGGCAGCACGGCGAGCGCAGGCGCGTTGAATCGATCCATGGCTTGCCATTGCAGTGCATTGACCGCTAGGTTCCAGTACGACAGGCGAACACCCTACAAAACGTCCATCTACCCAACGATCCTTTCTCACATCATGTTGGGCCGTCGGCCCTCAAGTCGACCGCCACAATTGTCCTTCACACACACGCACCACGACAATCCAATCACCCGGTCGACTAGACTGGAATTCATCGCCTCCAACAACCAAATGCACACACACGAATCCAAGACTTTAACGGTGTAACACGTTCGAAAATACCTTGGGAGGTCCAGTGGTTCCACTTGAAAACGGAAGGTAGTTGACGTCCCTCGCGGCGTCAATGCCGACGGGAGACCTTCGTGTTGTCGACGGTGGCGACTGGAGCTCGCTATCTCACCAAAACGTCGGGTTCGCAAGTATGTACAAACGATATAGCGATCACTGGGGGGTAAGCACCTGAAAGAAGGGATGCCGGCGTTGGAGCCGCCCACCGAAAAAATCCGATCAATCGCAATCGAGTGCAACTTGGCGGCGTCCATGGCGGCGGCTTCAACGGCTTTGTGCGTCACCACGAACGTCGCCTACATGCCAAATCCAACAGTGAGGCGCATATCGTAACTCGTCCCATTGAGCAAGGGCCTCACGTTCGACGCTTCAAGTTGCTGCGCGAGCTCGGCGCATGCAAAGGAGGGGGCGGCAGGTGACAAGATCGCTCCGATCGACGTCAGCGCTACAACATACCAAGAAGTACAAACAGACTAGCAAGTCATAGTAATATTAAAAAGGCAAGTCGTACCATGGTAAAGCACTGGGTACTCGATGCAGTTGACCATATTCGTCAGCACGACCTACATAAGGTTGAGTTGGCAAACGTGGCAAGGTCTCGAGTGGTTCTACATCGCCTTTGGACAATCCTCGAGCCGAAAACGACGCAGCTACGTTCTGCACGGCGCCATCGAACTCCCGGAAGGTCATGTGCCGGTGGGAAACTCCGCAGATTAGAGCAGGCTTGTCTGCGTACGTCTTGATTGCATCTTGGACGAGCTGCCACGACGTGCGCGGTTCGCCACGAATTGGAGGGTACGGAGACTTGTAGATACGCTGGTTTCCTCCAACTGATGTGGTAGCGAGCCCGCGGATCGAGTCAAGTTGGCGGCAGCGGAGCAGCATGACGGTCACGGCGTTGTACGAACCCGATCAAAAGATTTGGGGTTCAAAATAAACGACTTGGATTGGTTCATATATACAGAATATTAGCCAATTGAATCGCGCCGTTTTCCTCACGTTCATTACACAAGGATGTACAGTAAGCCACGCGCCGCTTTGCCATCATGTGCTCGATGAGGTTGTGCCGACTCCGCGAAGCATTGCGGCGCAATGCATGCTTCCCAGCGCGTGCCCGCGCTCTATCTGCAGGTTACTCACCGCAGCCGCATTGGATTTACGTCGCCCCGTATGAGCCCTTGGACATGACCCCCCGCACGGTATGGGACATCGTGCCACCAATCTCCAAGGTCCATGGGAACAAGCCCGCAATCAATTGCCGAGTCACCCATGAACACCTCACTCACCAAGAGTTCATCGCTCGAGCGACGTCCATAGCAGGCTCTCTATCCGAGCGAGGGGTGATCAAAGGCAAGGTACGTTGACGAGGAGTGCGTAGGCATCCACACTCGTCTCACTCGTGGAGTCGTTGGTGGTCCTGACGAACCATGGCCATTGCATCGAGCACCCCCACCTGTACCATAATTTTTGAATCCCCTCTGCCGCAAGCGGTGGCGGTCGACAACATGAACAATAGCAACTACCTCCCATTTTCCAGCGGCATGACCGGGGTGCCCGAAGTAAATGTCCCTTTGTCTAGCAGGGTGGGAGGCCTTCCCTGCTGCCTCGATGGCGCCTGCCTCCGTGCTAGTCCTTGTGCACGATTTCGTGGAGAGAAGGTCTTCCACTAGCGCTCCGTCCTTCCTGTCGATGGCTCCACAAAAATGTCTCGTTTTGGAACATGGCGTTCCATCTGGTTCAAGTGTGCCATGGGGAACCGATCGACCCGCCGGCGATGGTCGTGCCGCGTCAACGTTGACGAGCATGGCGCATGTGTCGATGCACGTCCAAGTCGAGGTTCCCCGATCACTTTCAATTCCTCCACTGCTTTGCGCACGAATATCTCGCCACGCGGCTCCTTGATGCTTCATGCAACTTCTATCCGGCGCACATCGTTCCGCTCGTTGCAAACAAACGTTCATCGTCGAGCACCCAACTGTCAACGAGCAATATCGGTCGGGGCTCGAGACGCTCGCGGCGGCGGTGGCTCCCCTTGGCACTACCTTGCAAGATGCTGAATGCGACGCAGTGTTACGACAGGATCATGCCCTCGCCAACGACGAGCAGCTGAAAAAGGCAATGCCTTTGCTTCCAATTCACGACGGAAGGGACTCGGCAGCTGCACTTGCACATCCCTCCATGTCGTGAATGGATCATGGGCATGTGAATGTCGTAGTTTGCCTCCACGAGGACGCTTATTCCGTACACGGAACTTTGCGTGGTGCGTCCTTGACACGACCTCCCGACATGACATGGACCGCCGTGTTTATAGGCATGTTCTTGTAGCAATTCCCCCTCGGCGGGTGGTCAAGGACCATGGTGCTTCGTGGAAATCCCTTTTGTACGTCGAAGTGCATGTCACATGGACATCAAGATACAGGAACACTGGTCGACATGGATGGAACTGTTTGTCTCGGCACTCGGAAAGCTCCACTCGTTGCTCCAACGTTTGAAAGAGCGTGGTGCTTTTGGCGCGTCGAAGGATGCAAGTGCATGGCCAAGTGTTGCGATGGCTCGTAGTCGCAAAGCTGATCGAGGCGAGCCCAATGTTTGAATTCATGAGCCTACTTGATAGGAACTAGTCGGCGGAACGCTTGGCGAAGAGCGGCATCTTCGAGCTGGTCGATGCAAAACCGCGTGTAAGTCGTTGCAAAGGACGGCGCACACGCCTCGGCGGCGCTGATTCTTGCCAAGCGCGTCAGGAGGGTTCGCCCCAACACTTTTAACTTTTCGGGAACCGAAGCATGGGCAAACGTTCCGTTGAGAACGACAACGACACCTCCAAAGCATACGAGGAGGGCCGCGATGCCCTAAGCAAAATTCTCGTCAACAACGACATAAATTGATGCAACCAAACCGGCGACGGTCGGTCGTTCGCCAAGACAGCTTCCACCGCCCAAGTGAGAGCGCGAACGGAATGCACAGGTTGGACTGCGTGGAGTCCCAACGCGGTGCATCGCACGGTCCACAGCGGCCATGTCCATTCAAATGCAAGTTCGCGACGGCCTTTGTGCCCCGGCACGACAAGTGTGTCGCCGGTCGGTAGCGTCGGCGCCAGTTGCGGCAACACCACCAACGTCAAGCGTTCGAATTGAACGGCGTTCGCGCATGGAGCTATCGCGTGGACCGCAAGCACCGTGACAGCCATCGCCCATGGAATATCGTGACGCCATCGTGCATCGGACGCGACGGCGTCCTGGACATGGGGCAAAGCCTCGACACTCGCTGGATGGCCCAGAACAGCTCCCCAAATTAGGTTGGTCATGTGAGTGTTCCATGCGAACGTCTTCGAAGCAAGGGCGGCAGTCCACGGCAGGTCTGTCTCGGATGGAGCAGTCAGCAGCACACGCAAGCGAACGTCGTCGGTCTTGCTTAGCTCGCACTTCGACGCGACGCATTTGACTGTTGCTGGAGATGCAAGTGCCACAAGAGCTTCGAAGGTTGAGAATACCACTTGGGTGTGGTTGTAGTACGCCGACAACGCTTCTACATGCAAGATGGCCGTGAGTTGGAGCTAGTTGGGAGCGAAACCGTGCGAGAATGCGACGTACCACTGGATGTACTCGCCCAAAGCCGTCGGAGTTCCAATACACTCAACTCAAGAAGACTGGAGCTTGTGGCTGGATTTGTCAGCACCAACGGTGCCATCGCCTTCGCGTTTGTGGATGGCACCAAGAGCTCGTGCGCTGTGAGCCATCCATTTATGCACTCGTCCGAGTCAGTGCCGTTTCGAAGACGGGGCAGCACACACGCGACGAAAAAGCCGTTCGAAGTGATCATATCGCTCTGGACGAGAAGGCGGCCCCACTCAGCTGCATGTCGCCACGGCGCCGCCAAACTATGAGTGGAAAACGCTTCCGAGACGAGCTGCGCAAGAACGTCAGGTTGCACGAATGGAGCGAGCATCGACAGCACTTGAATGCACAGAGGTCGGGTCTCTCGCGTGAGCAGTCCATGCGTGACCAAGGCTTGTATGACGCCATGTGGGTCAAAGGCTGCCACACGAAGGAATGCGTGGGGTGGCGTCGATGGGGTCACGAAGTTCATCAGTGCGTGTAAGGCGTTGGTTGTGGTGGCTGGTCTGGCAGTCTTGTCGCGTGATGCACTTTGAATAATCCATCCGACTTGAATGCACAGCACGTGGAGGTCGTCGATATGGTCAACGTACGCCTGTAGCCATTCGATGTTGGCGCTGGTCCAAGATGGACTGGCGAGGAGTCTCGAAAACGTTTGGTGCGCTTGATCTTGAGCCAGGATCGGCTCTGCGTGCCAGTCTTCGTCCTCCACGCCCATGGGGATCTCGTCATGTGTCGAGTCAGTGACATTTGTTGGAGTTTCTGTGCCGTGCGGGGAGTTCTCCATCGATGCCGCACCTACTACCGCACACAATTCGAAGAAGCTGCCGCCTGTCATGATTCGTGCATGCATTCCACACCTGTGACGGCTTGAAGCAATGATTCCTCGGTGAGATACAAGCTGTACTCGAGTGGACGGCAGTGGCAATGGTCGCAGCAGTCTATGCATGCGACGGCAAGGTCGTGTATCCAGGTCGTGTCGATCGCAACATCCTTGCTCTCCATGGACCGGAGAAGCTGCTGGACGACTTGCGGGTACGTTGACACCTCTAAACGGAATCCTTTCAGGCAGATCGAATAATGCACAATCGTCAGTACGAGGATTGGTTCCGTCAAGAAAGACCGGATCCCTGTCGTTGGAGCCGAGAGCTGTGATTGCGCGCTGCAGCACGTGGCACTTGGACCAACTCGCCAGACTCTCGAGTTGCCGCTTTAGAGACCCCTTTGACGATGGAGCGTACGATGCAACGAAAAGGGCGAGCGTGTCTATCATGGCCTACAGATACAATCGTAAGCTGACGAACAGAATGATGAAGACAATGACACACTTGCAGCGTCGATGAGCGGCCAGGGTTATGTGGCGATGCGCAAGACTTGTGAAACATGAACATGGCATGCACACAAGCGACTGCGTCCGACGGATGCAGTTGGCTCAGGAGGAAAACTAGGGGGCCTTGCAACTCTGCGGCTTCAACAGAGAGTACCAGGTCCGCCACCGAAACGTGCGGTATCGGAAAGCTCAAAGCCATATCTCCTGGGCAATGGGCACGTAGCAAAGTCTTGCATTGAGCAAGCTTTACGTCATACTCCCACTCGATAGATATATGCACGTGGATGGTCTCCTTCGCCGCGAAGGACGTCACCAACCGTGCTATCGCTGCATCATCCGTCATCGTTCCAACACGTTCAAACACAAAACCAAAAACGTACTTAATCGGAAACTACATCGCACCTATCATTAAAATGGCACAGTTTTGAAATGTCAACGTCGGAGGCCGAGCCGTGCGCTGGCACACATGTCCATTGTTGAAGTTTGCCGCGATCCGAAGTCCAAACACCCGGATCCGGAAACGAAGAACTTGGTGACAAAAGGTCATGGCAGGGATTGTGTTTTGCATAGTTGCATTGATGATGAACACCAACGGCCGAGTAGCGGCGTTGAAGGACAAGCTGCAAGCTCGTCATGCATACGCAAGGAAGAAAAGAACTGTATGTAGGAAGACAAGTTCATTAAAGGATCAAATTCACTTCTCGATTTCCCTTCTTGGTCTTGAGTCGCCGGCTAACCGCCTGCTGCCTTTGT